CAAATGGCATTAAGGATGCCAACGCAACATGACAGCGAAGGCAGACGTCTTACTTCGCATCTTAGATATAAAGCATTAAACCTATTGTCTCACCGTAGACTCTGCAATCTCTTACGAACGAATAGTTATTATCCACCGGTACCCTACCTCTTCGAGTGTAAGAGGCTCGGATGCTGTCAAGCGTTGCAGTTCCTCAGACGTCATCCATCTGTGATACGTTGGAACATGTCCGGGTTCGTAAGGCACCAGGACGATGTCAGCGGTTTGTATTGCCAAATTTTGACGCACCTAGAATTTTGTATCGAGGCGTAATTTATTGCCCAATTCTAATTTTGTTTTCGAAAGCACTTTTTTTCACCGAACAGCTTTATTTCAAAAGTTATGTACATCATTCTGCCTTTGTGACTCTGGCATATGTCATCTGGGAATGATGACCTGTGACGACTTTGATAAGGCCTACAAGCAGTAAAATTATCATATGCACATACCTTGTTTCCTCATCTCATTCAGTGCTGCGCGAGCGAGCGATACACGAATCTTCAGGCGCACGGACACTTCAGATGGGGTGATGGGCTTGTAAGTTGGAGCCTCCTTCATGAACTTATCATATGTCGCCTTGTCAAAGAGGCACATGTTGTTCAGCTTGTCCCTAACTTTTCCCTTAGACCACTTCTTCTTCTTGGCCTTCCCACCACCTCCTTCCTTCTTGGCGGTGGGCTTCTTCGTCGGCTTTGCATCCTTTTTTCCGCCCTTTCCGGCGGTCTTTGGGGGCTAAAAGAAAACAAGCCTTAAAAACTCGAAACATCAGAAACAGCACAAATTGCCAAACCACGCCGTACCATCGCTGCGGAAAGTGAACTAGCCCGCGCGTCGACGACTTAAACAAACTGAATTCAGTAACTTGGTTGGTCAGCACTCACGATGCCAGAAGATTTAATAGATCACATCTAAGACTTTCCGTCCATATGTAGAAATGCAGTCTCTTTTTCTAGTTGTGCATAAAATAGCATAGTCTCAGATGGATTTGGGTCGTGAGAATCCCTCAACAATCGTATTAAAGCTTTTAAGTTACCCGGTATTGCGAGAAACGTTGAATATGCTGCCATTCTTCAGGCCGTTGCGGTGAGCTGAAGCGCAGCGTGTACTTTGCGACTTTTCTCGGAAAGCTAAGAAAACAAATTACGGATATCACTTATATGCTTGTGTCAGAATCACGCCTGGTGTAGTATAATAAAAAGGGGCAAGAGGAAGTATAAGGCAAAAGAAGGACTAAACAAATATGCAGAAGTAAGCCTGTAATTCGAAAGTACCCGTTGAAGCTACTGCCTATGGCCGTCCGGATGTACCTTTCGGTGCCGCGTCATCCATACAAACTGAAGAAACACCATGCCAGTCTAGAAGTGCGGGCCAATTTCTTTTCCCATCGGGTTATTGAAGACTGGAACAAACTACTTTCTTCAGTTGTTCTTGCTGAAAGCTTTGACGCATTTAAAAGAACATTTGATAATACCTTACTTGAAGGTCAGACATTTTGTAGGCAGCAACGATTAATATAATGAACATATATGGCTCTGAAACATATGCACGATTTGCCAGAAATTATTTGTAAAGTGGGTTTTCAAAAGCTCTGCCTATACATACTGAGAAGAAGAAGAAGAAGAAGAAGAA